TTCAGAAATCCGGTTGAACGTGATCTGGTGCGACAACAAGAGAAGCGCTGCGCTAGTCATTCAACTTCTTACTCATACCGATCGAAGTCGTCATGCGAGTTGTTTTCAGAATCGATTCCTTTTCTAGCAGTGAGATTTTGTGGCGTGATTTCAACACGCTATTGGCGATGACAAACTTTACTCGTCAAAAGATTGGATATAAAAATGGACAGGATTGTCACAAATCTGTCGTCCTAAAATTCCATAAATTTTCCATGATTTACAGACAAAATTTCATGATTTTCCCTGATATTCAATAATATTTAAAATTTTTGTTGTATTTTTATTCTGGTTTGGAAATTGTTAAATATTTTGTTGAGAGATCAATTTAACATAACAATGTAAATTATTATTAATGTTGTTGACATTGCTTGCATTTTTATTTGTCAAGTTGGTCCAAAATTGCATAGGTATTATGATGTACATGTATTTAAATTTCTTTAAAACCAAGAATTTTTATTTTTCAGAAAATTGTGCAAAATCTAATGGCAGATGAATTGCTGAATTATTGAAAAAAATATATGATGAAAATAACGAGCAAATATAAATAGTTCCAATATCATTTAATAATCCAGTTAAATAAAGAAGCGGCAAATACGATTAAAGCTATAAATCTTGGTGCCTAATAATATTTCGAGATGAATGATTTAAATACACTTTCCGGTACTTCAAACTGCACGCTTAATATAGTCAGTTTTGAAGCGCCAGTCCTAATTTAAAATTGAAAATAGAGTAATGTCATAAATTAAATTAACAATAATGATGCTAACAAAATTGTTAATTCAGGATTACGCTTTCAAGACCGGTTGTATTCGGCGCGTAGTTTGAAGTACTAAAACAAGTATTTAAATATTCATACAGAATATTATTAGGCACACCTCAGATCTGGCCTCGTCTGCGTTCGGAGCTTCTTTATAATATTACCTTCATATGTTAACACTACATATATTTTTAAATTTAACAATAAAATTTTGCGACAAGCAAAGAAATAGCTACGTTTCATATCTTTATCGATTATCTCAATATACGCTGTGTTTAAAATTATTAACATTAATTATCATGTCTCAATAACATTATTACGCAAGTCCTTAAGATTCTCTTATAATTCTTCATAATCATGTTTTCGTCGAATTAACGACTGGAAATATAATGTATTGTAAACAGAGAGAGAGAGAGAGAGAGAGAGAGAGAGAGAGAGAGAGAGTCAAGTGGCAAAGAAATACGAGAATAAAATGCAACAGATAAGAGACCGCGTATATAGCATTACCGATACGTATATTTAGATAAGAACACCAGCCGTTTAGAAGGTAGACGGTAGAATAAAATAGATAGGTAGTGTTACGCTTATTATTAGAAAAAAATATAATGTTATGGCTATATAAAATAGATAAAAGTTGGCTATTCTAAAGTTAGCTATATACAATACAAATAAAATATAATAGATATAAGACATGTAGTCCTCTTTATAGATGTGTTACATTTTAA